AAATTGACTTCTGAGATCGAAATTAGGATGCCTACAACAGAAACCGACGATAAACGTATTCAGATTTTTAACTTTTCTGTTCGAAAGGCAGAGCGGAGGAAACTTGACATTTCGTTGCTTGCCGTTTGAATCAACATGGTCCTAAAGAATCCTCCTAATATGCCAATCTTAGCACTTAAATGTTTCTTAGTTGCTTTGCATTAAGTGGAAGAGTTATTCAAGGAAAACAGTTTTCTTTCACATGGCGTAAACGTCATGATTCATACCATAAGTCCACGACGAGTGTCACAAATGCAACATCCAACCTCCAGCGTTATTTCAACATACCCTCTTTCAACCACATCTAGTGGGGAGAAATGCGTTGAAGTTTACATACCTTGTGCGAAGGATAAACCCACAAATATGAATACAGTTATGTGCTCAGGAAACATCTTTCCAGGGACTGATTAGTTCCAAACGAAGCAAAGCAAGTGGTCAACACAAATTTTTAACGGCGTCCCCTGAGAAACCTGACACCCAACTACTTTGGACAGTTCAGTTCCGTGTTTTCCTGCTTTGTTTTTAAGTAACCATGGTAACACATTGACTTACATTTGAAGAGAGGTAAAAAACCTGTCGATATTAGCTGAGAATACGGAGAACACATTTCATGCTCGAGTTGCCATCGAGAGTTCGGTTAAGTTAAGTTAAGTTATCAATAAACACGCACGACGAGCTTTGCTCAAGAAAAAAATTCTCATCAGGGAAGCCTAAAATGATCCATAGGCTTGTCAATGTAAAGCGAGAGGACTCAATTAGCAAGTGAAAGAGAGGTGTTTGGCTTCGAACGTGAAATTAATTAATTAAACATGCGCGAGGATCCGCGCGGCTTGCGCGTTAGCGAGTGCCACGTAAATTTTAGACTCTTTCGCACAATTTTTGCTTTGGAAATAACTACGCAATCATAGAATGAATGACAATTTTCACAATTGCAAAATGATTCAGCGACAGAAACGGCTTAGCTAAACCCAAACGTGTCATGACACTTGAGGATAGCCTGTTTAGACTGCGCGACTTGAGAATCAAGTAACAGATGTTGTACCCGGCATGTTGTGTCTGTTATCCACATATTTATTGGTTTGTGACACAAAGAGCGATTATCTGTTCTGCCACAACAATGCCAAAGTTAAATTGTGACAGCTAACTAATATTCTACTCTGATCAGACCTTTGAGGCCGGTGAACCGCCTGGCAAGGACCTCGTTTTCGAGAGAGATTTCGACTGCATTATGTTCTTGAGATATAGGAGTATCATTTAACGCTTGAAAAGATTGGGTAGATATTTTGATAATACATTTCTGGCGTCTATACTGAGGAGCTCTTTAAGTATAAAATATCATTTCCAAACATCAGGCAAGCGCGCGAACTTAATTCCGCGAAATTTCTTTGCGAAGGTCGGCGAGTGTATTCGGCGGTATCTGCGAAAAGGGGTTATCCTTTTTTTTTTAAGGTAAGGTTATAACTGTGTATTACCTCGCGAGAAAGAAATTCCACTCGCTGACCTGACCAATTTGACGTTCGGATGATTTCTGTCTAGAGCAATATGATGACCCGCGATAAATCTAGCTGCTTAATAAAGTGAACCGAAAATGATGATGCCTGAACCGTTTTATCAGCAAAGCAAGGTTTACCTTGCTTCTGTGCCTTCAAGCAAGAAAAGGAATAATTTCTCTGGTAGTTAGATGGTAGATGCTTAAAATCACTAGGCGTCGATGTGCTCCAGAGGCTCAAGTCAGATCATTAAAATCGTCCTGGTAATGCCTATTTCAGGTATTTTATTGAGCGAAAAACTCTCTAAGAGGTACCGATAAGCCGGGGTCGTTTTCAAAATTCCCGGTGCGCATCCTCGCCCTCTTATGTATAGGGGTTCCCCGGCGGTACTGATACGTGCAGCACACTTGAA